CCCGAGCAGAGGAGCACCAGGCACTCTCCTGACCGTGTAACCGGCCCCTCCTGTTACATGTTAGTTTTCACATGGGGTCCCCCCACTTTCCGGAGCCCAGACTCTGGAGCCAGAGCCACCGCAGTTCCAGCCCCTCCCCTGGCTCGCAACACGACCCTGTGCCAGGGACGTGGCCTCTGTGAGTGTGGGTTTCCTCGTGGATGTGATGAGGGTGGCGGACCTCCCCGGTGGGACATGTGGGACGTGGAAGGATTACGGGAGGGAGTGGGTGTAAATGGCCCCGGTAGCCTCGTGAACAGTGGCTGTGGTTGTGGCCTGTGTTCTCAGCCTTTACTTAGCGATCTGAAGTAGATGTGTGCTAGTTTTACTTTAACCCATTGGGTGTGTCCCGGCTGTTACTAACCTAGATTTTTTTAAAAAATATATTTTATTGATTTTCTTACAGAGAGGAAGGGAGAGGGATAGAGAGTTAGAAACATCGATGAGAGAGAGACATCAATCAGCTGCCTCCTGCACACCCCCTACTGGGGATGTGCCCGCAACCAAGGTACATGCCCTTGACCGGAATCGAACCCGGGACCCTTGAGTCCGCACGCGGACGCTCTATCCACTGAGCCAAACTGGTTAGGGCCTAGTTTTTTTTTTTTCTCATTCAAATAGTTATTGACTGAACAAATCAACTTGTTAGACAAAAATAGTTGTCTAGCCCATGTCCGAGCACTTTAACCCACGTCAGAACACATTGGTCAGGTTTCAACAAGGAAGCTTGGGTGCTGTGTATTCCATATGTAGAAAGTCAAGTCTCGAGACTTCGGGCATATTTAACCTGGACGTGGGTGAGAGGCCCCAGACCCAGGTCTTGTGGAAACGAAAGGAAACGTGTGTGCCCGGGATCGGCTCCTCGTTGGAGCAGAGAAGAAGAAGCATAACCTGCCATTCTGGGCCAGCACTTCCTATTGGCTGAGTTCCTCACAGGCCTCAGAGGTGCTGTGGTCCTTGCTTCCTTTAGGCCCCAGGCCCATCACTCAGACGTCACAGATGTGCTTCTCAGAATGCCCCTACCTCGTCTCTTCTGTCCTAAAACTCACTGCAAGAGAGAGACATCCATTCGCTTCCCTGAAACAGGCTGGAACCCTCTCCTTCTCCTCATTCCTCATGGGCGGGGGCTGTGAATGCCCCACTTCAGTGTCAGGATGGTCACCATAGCGGTCACCTTCCAGCAGAGGGCCACGCTCCACTTGACAGCTGACCTCAGGCTAAGAGGGTGGCATCAGATGGAGCACCATTCTTCAGAATTCTTTTGTCCCTGGCTGCCACACATGCATTGTTTTAGGAATTAGAATTTAGATGTCTCCCTTTGCCCCAAACAGAGGTTCTTTTCGGATCTTGGCTACTTTGTGGGACAGGGGGCATTAACACTGAACATCTAGGACATGACAAATTCTTTATCTGAAAGGTGCCTCTTGCCCCCATCTGGGTGCTTTTTGTGTCTTGAAATTTCTCCAGTCCTAGGTGGTTTGGCTCAGTGGACAGAGCATCAGCCTTCGAACCAAAGGGTCCTGGGTTCGATTCAGGTCAAGGGCACGTACCTTGGTCGCAGGCTTCTCCCCAGCCCGAGCCCTGGTTGGGGCACATGCAGGAGGCAACCAATCAATGAGTTTCTCTCACATCAATATTTTTCTCTCTTTCCCTCTCTCTTCCACTCTCTCTAAAAAATCCATGGGAAAATATCCTCGGGTGAGGATTAAAAAAATTTTTTTTCCTCCATGTCAGAGAACTGAGTGTGGGGATACTAATTGGGTAGGAACAGCAAGGGGAGGAGTTTCACAGCTGCATGTGAAAACATGTCACACTTCGTAATGTGTCATAAATGTAAGTGAAGTAGTAATGGAAGGAGCATGGACTCCAGGTTTCAGACCTGGATTTCAATCTTGAATGATTCATCAGGTATGAATTGAGTACCTACTGTTTGCTGAGTACTGGGTTGTAAATTGGCAAATAAAGCAAATGTGACCTCTGCCTCATGGAATGTGCGGTTTGGTGGGAATGGAGGGAGATGGTAATAGGAAGACCTCTCTGAGAACTCTGTGACCCTGGAAGTTATCTGACCTCTCTGTGCCTCTTCTCATCAAAGAAGTGGGCACACATATCTTGCTGAGTTCTTGTGAAGATTAAAATAAATCATCTATTAAAGCACTAGCAGAGTGTCTGCCACTAGTGGATCCTTGTTAGTCCATTTTATGGATGAGGAAATTGAGATTTAGAGAAACCTTGCTGAAAAAGATTAATTAATTTGTCCAAAGTCACACAGCTACTAAGTAGAAGAGTTGAAAATCAAATCCAGTCTCTTGACTCAAAATCCCACAGTCTTTGTTACAGAAAGCTCCCTGGGGAAAGACACTTAACCACAATGAGCTTTACTGTTCACTGTGCTTATTTCCCATTTTAATTAGGAGAATTTTTCTGTGTCCCTGCAGGATAGTCTTACCTCCACAACACAGGGCAAAGCTAATTGGAACAGTAGGAGCTCACTTTTCCGAGGGTGAGCTAGGTTTGAGGGGGACCCCTGCCTGTCTGGCCCAGCCTGCTGCAGTCGGCTCCTACCCCATGTGCAGGCAGCAAAGTGCTTAAGGGGCACTTTCATGATCTGCAGTCTGGGGTCATGGCAGCCCCACGCCTCACTCCAAGGATTGCCTGGCTCGCCTGTTCCCCCACATGAATGAGCCTATAAATCCAGAGGCCTGGGTTGGCTCTCCTGCTGCTTGTGCTTTGGAATTGCTTACTTCCTGTGCTTAGAAATGAGGGAACCCACGTGTCAGTGCTCTCGGGGCCCCTGGAGTCATGCTTTCCTTCCAGCGCCTTTGATCCTTCAGCTCTATCATGCTAGGAGAGAGCTAGCGTGCTGGGTGGAGGAAGGGAGCTTGCTTCTGTGTGAAGGTGTGCTGACCTCTGCCCTGTCCTCACAGCTGTTCCGTGAGGCCATGTTGCATTCCCATTTTTCTGGAGATGGAGTTGCTTTCACAAGTCATGCAGGGGCGGCAAGAGCACTGGCCTGGCCTGATTGGTGCCAATGCTCATGTTCTTTCTGCCCCGTCGCACAGCCCCGGAGACGTGTCTCAGGTTTCCCTGTTCCTTGCCCCTACCTCAAGGAGATAGGACTTGGGGTGGCACTGTGTTGGCACATCATACCAGCCATTACCAAGTCAGAGGGTAATGAGAAATGCATTCCTGTATAGCTAGCTCGAGGGCTTTTGAGGTCTCATCTTGACCTTCACCTTGGCCGGCTGAGAAGGTCTTGGACAGTGACGTAGGCTCTCCCAGTGAGAGAGCATGGCTGGTGGAACAAACACTGGATCTATGGCCCAGCCCTTGGGATTGAGTTTCCCTCTGCCATTTACTCTGGGGAACTTGGGACGAGTCATACCATCCCTTGAGCCTCAGTTCCCTCATGTGTGAGGGAGGTCACGTTTTCTGCCCTGGGAATTGAACCAGAGAATGTTTGTGAAAGCACTTTGCAAGCTGAGTGTGTCTCAGGGCTGTCTGGAAACCCCGTTCCTAAGAGAAAGATGGATGCTCCAAAGCCTGCTAGTCTGTGTGGTAGACGGGCTGGTTCTGTGTCCAGAGCCCAGCATTAGGAAGACAGTGTGTTCTCTTGTGTGTTCCTTCCTCTGGAGAGGCAAGAACTGGATCTCGCCTGCCTCCAGCACGGTGCCCAGCCTGCAGATAGCAATGGCTGGTGTGGGAGGAGCTTATACCTGGACGAGCAATCCCTGGGAGTCCTGGTATCTGAACGCTTGCCTCCTGGTTGCTTGAAGTAGGAGTAAGCAGTGTCATTCCCGGTGGAACTGAGGGTAGAATTTATCCCGAGAAACCTTCCCAGCAGTTGGTTTTTCTCAACCTTTCCTGGGACCAATCAGTGTCCACTAAGGTGTGACTGGCGGTAGGACCTCTCTCTGGTGAGCTCAGAGCCATCTTACCGGTGCCTTTGGGGCGCCTCTGCCCCCAGCTGGGTGGACGAGCACCTCCAGATGTGTGTGCTGCTCTGGTTCTTGGGTGTGAATGAGAACTCATTTATTGAGCATGTGCTATGTTAACCCTCAGGGTTTAATGCCTCCACTCGTTAGATGGGGAAGGGAGGCAGTGTTTTGCCTGAAGATGCAGGGACTGAAGAGCAGAAAGAGGCTTCGGATAAGCTCTGTCAGACTCCGGAGCTGGGCTCTTCCCCTGTGTTCCCTGCTTTTTACAGGAGGGTCCACTTAGGCCTGAGAGAGCCGCACACGAGCCTCAGAACAGGATCTGCCCTCGCTGCCGTTGTGTGTGGTTTCCCACTGTGCAAGGACAGCCTCCTTCGCTCCTCCCTCTGCCTGTGTGGCTGCCGTTTGGCCTGTTGACCACGTGTCAGCATGGCCTCTGTCCCCAGGTGAACCCCGAGGGGCCCTCACTGCCAGTGTGCCTGCCACTCACTGGCCGTGGCTGAGCAGCACTGTCTCCTGGAGCCAGAGCGCCTTGGCCCTAGCTGAGACGGCCCAGCTCCCAAGCTTTGTCTCCTGAGGCTGGAAGACACTGAAAAGGCTTCCAATAAACTTGCACTTGGGAACCTCTGTCCGCAGCTTCCTCAGATGCATCTCCTCCCTGAAACCTGCCCTGAATCTGTCTGAAATGACTGGTTCCCTTTGTGGGGGGGAATGGCTGAGTGAATATTTCTTAGGCGTCTGCTGGGGGCAGGCTCTGCTGCAGGATTGTCTCGTGCCCTCGCTGGGCCCTCACCGGGACCCAGCAGTCCCCAGGGCCAGTCCTCTTCCTGGCGGAAGCTGAGACACTCCCAAGGTCTCACGCCTGGAACATGCGTGGGCCTTTCCCACCCCAGCAAGGGTGGCAGCCAGGCTTGGAGTTCCTGCTGCCGAGGCCAGGTCTGCGGACGCAGGGACAGACCCTTCGGTTCCTCAAAGGCTTGGCCACAGCCCTTCAAGCCAACTTTGCTTTTCTCTGTTACAGAGGAAGTCGAGCAAAGCAAAGGAGAAGAAGCAGAAGCGGTTGGAGGAGCGAGCAGCCATGGATGCCGTCTGTGCCAAAGTGGACGCAGCCAACAGGGTGACTCTCCTTCCCAGTCCTTCCTCCTCCAGCTGCAGCTTGGTTTTTACTTTTACTTCCTTTGGCACCACCCTGTGGCAGGACTGTGTTACTGCCCACTGCCCTCTGCTGCCTCCTTGCTCAGGAAAAGGAGCCTGGGCGGGTTCCAGGTGCCGGCAATCGGCCCACGTGCGCAGGGAAATGTGGGTTCAGATGGGAGGGGCTGCGCCCCTCTGTGGGTCTCTTACCAGTAAAAGGGGCCTGGAGAAATTTTAGTTAGGATTTTGCATTTTGGGGAGCACACCTCCCTCATAAAAAGTGGTGTAATTTTCTCATTCATTCTTCAAACCTTTATTGACTGCCCGTGAAGTACCACAGGGTGTTCTGGGACCAGGAAGATACAGCCACCTGGTTTCAAGAGGCTGCAGTCGGGAGGAATAGCCGTGAACCCGAGCACCAGATGGGCCCAGATTTCAAACTGAACCAGAGAGATGCTGGTCGCCTTCCCGCCCGCTTCATATCTCACTTTGTGTTGTTCTTATAGCCCCTCAGTAAACAGTGCACATTGACAGGGATGTGGCTCAGGGATGTGATTTCCTGTTTTGGGTTTTGACCAGGTAAGATAGGTGAGCAGTGAGCAGGTTGTATGCCCACAGGCCAGAATTGGTTTTAGCCTAGGAGCGTCTCTTCCTGTCCTGTCAAACGAACTAACTTAACTCTATTCGGCCTCCTTACCAAAGCCCTCTTAGTGGTTTCAGAGCTGAGGCCGGCGGGAGTCCATGTGAGGGTGTTCCCGGCCCAGCAGCTGAGCCTCCCGGTGTGGTCTGGCCAGCAGCGGACTCAGGGCAGAGTGTACGCTCTGCCACGCGTGTGTTTGTGCTACTTCTTTCTTTCCCTCCACAGCTTGGCGACCCTTTAGAGGCTTTCCCCGTGTTCAAGAAATACGATCGGAATGGGTGAGTGTCAGCATCCCTGGCTGTCTCCAGTGTCTTCAGGAATTCACCTTTCCAGAGTAGGCTTCCTCACTCAGATCTTCCCATTCTTCTTTGTGAGGGAAAAGCAGGAAAGGTGGCTAGTGCCCGGTTGATATAAAAGCCCCCGGTGAGGGTGACAAAAGAATCCATAAATGAGCAGATTGCATCGTCTCAGATGGATGTCTCTAGGATTTGTTATTCTTTCTGGACAAAGAATCATAGAGCTGAAACTCTTAAAAAGTCATCCAGGCTGACTCTCATTCCATACAGGGGGAAACTGAGGCTCAGAGAAGTTGAATGGGATTTCTGAGGCTGGCAGCCGAGGGGGCTTTTAATTCCCAATCCAGTGCGCTTTTAGAAAATTCAGGCACAGCGAGGTTAAGTGATTTCTCCAGGGTCTCAAAGCCAATAAGTGGATTTTAACTTACTGGCTTTGAGACCCTGGAGAAATTACTTAACCTCTCTGTGCCTGAATTTTCTAATCAGAAATGGATCTAATAATAGCATCTTCCTTCTGCCCTAGCTGGTTTGGCTCGGTGGATAGAGCGTCAGCCTGTGGACTGAAGGGTCCCGGGTTCGATTCCGGTCAAGGGCACATGCCTGGGTTGTGGCCTTGATCCCGGGGCGGGGTGGGGGGTGCAGGAGGCAGCCAATCAATGATTCTCTCTCATCATTGATGTTTCTATCTCTTCCTCTTCCTTCCTCTCTGAAATCAATAAAAATATATTTTAAAAATAATAATAATAATAGCATCTTCCTAATGGAGCCATCAGGAGAATTAGATGTAAAGCATTCGTGCCTGGAGCATACTAAAAGCTAGATCAGTGTCAGCAATTATTACTACTGTTATTACTAATCTAATTTGCTGTAGGATCTGGATTAAAGCCCCTCTCCTTTCAGTCCTTTTTTTCTTATAAAATAGGAAGCATAATCTGTTTTACCGGAGATGCGTTGGCTGCGGGGGGAAATGGGGGTATGGTTTTAGAGAATCACAGCTGTGGGTTTGAATCATAACTGTGTCTCTTATTAACTATACTTAGACAAGTCAGTCATACTCTATAAGCCTCATTTTTTAATCTATTAAATGGAGTGAAGATGCCAAACTTGCAGGGTTGTTTTAAGGAGGAAAGAGAATGTATCTAGCTCTGTAAGTAGCAGGTGGTATGAGTTTATTTTTTAAAAATACATATATTTTTTAATTGATTTCAGAGAGGAAGGGAGAGGGAGAGAGAGATAGAAACATCAATGATGAGAATCATCGATTGGCTGCCTTCCACACGTCTCCCACTGGGTATCAAGCCACAACCCAGGCACGAACCCCTAACCGGAATCGAACCCGGGACCCTTCACTCCGCAGGCCGACGCACTATCCACCGAGCCAAACCAGCCAGGGCGATGGTATGAGTATGTTAATGAACAAGAAAGACAAATGTAAATACATGAGTTTTGACGCAAAGACTATGAGGCAGCACTATATTTGCCTTTCAGAGCTGTGTCTGAATCTCACAGTATCACATTAATTCATTCTTTCTGTCTGTGATCAGACACAGCACAGCTCCTCTGGTGGCTTTGTTATTCACCTTCTGGGGAGGCCTTTGCCATAGCTTAGAGATCCCTTACTGAGGTAGCGCTTAGTGACTTCTACATGGTCACGATTTACAAAGAAAGGAAAACTCTTCCGAGCCACGAAGTTCCGAATTTACGTGGCTGATCACATGTACAGCTCACATGATGCACCAGTCAGCAGAGGTGAGGGTGGGAACGCCCTCTGAGGGGTCATGTCGAAGGTCACCGAAAGATAAGGACTTGGAGTTGCTGACTCCAGGCCCTTCAGAATGTGGCACTACCTGGAGAATGTGAGTTCGCAGTTTGGCCGAGGAATTGAACTATGATTTATTTATGTTTCATTTAGAAATAAATAGCAGATTGCGACACCTTAATGCCTGCAGCATTTGTTAGTTTTGGAAAACAGTGTGGGGTTGGACCTGTTCTACTCTGGTCAGCTGAGAGCACGTGCGTTGTCTTCAGAGGAGGCAGCAGGCAGCACTCCTCAGAGGGCGGCGTGGGCCGTAGTCTCCCTGGGGGCCTGAGGTCACCCAGATGCTTTCAACGAAGATGGTAGATAAAAAGGAAGAGGTCTCACGGGAGCCCAGGGAGGAGTCCGTTCAGAATTAAAGCAGCAGGAAAAGTGCCTAAGAGCAGGAACGGCTTCAAATGCTTCTTTGTCTTCTCAGGTTAAACGTCTCCATTGAGTGTAAGCGAGTGTCTGGATTGGAGGCAGCCACGGTGGACTGGGCTTTCGACCTGACCAAAACGAACATGCAGACCATGTAAGACGCCCCGACGGCCGCGGGCTTGCCCCAGGCTGGCTCTCCCCTCCCGGAGCTCCTGGTCCTGACTGCCCCCACTTTCCCAGGTATGAGCAGAGTGAGTGGGGCTGGAAGGACCGAGAAAAGCGGGAGGAAATGACAGATGACCGAGCCTGGTACCTCATTGCTTGGGAAAACAGTTCCGTCCCTGTTGCTTTTTCTCACTTCCGGTTCGACGTGGAGTGTGGGGATGAAGTCCTGTACTGGTAGGAGCCCCGGCTAGGGGTGCGGTGTGGGGAGGAGACACTGCTCCAGGCACTCCAGTGGGTGGCACAGTCCACTGTGCCTGTCCGTCTCCTGTGGCCGGCCTGAGCCTCTGCAGCTCACCCTCTGCTTTCTTCACCCAGCTACGAAGTGCAGTTGGAAAGCAAGGTGCGGCGGAAAGGCCTGGGGAAGTTCCTCATACAGATTCTGCAGCTCGTGGCCAATAGGTAAGGGCCACCGCGCGTCGCACAGCTGGAAGGAGCTGCCTCGGAGGTGTCTGCTGTTCTGTGCATCTCCATGGAGAACAAGGCTCCCGGGAATGTTTTGGAAGAAGGGCATCTAGAACCCTCTCAGCAAGATATTCCCTGTCCTGCTGTGACCCCAGATTTTGTACCTGCGCCTCATATATAATGGGGGTGCGGAGAGCAAGTGGAGAAGCTGGTCAGGCCATGGGGGCCTAATGCCCGTGCAGTCTCATCAGCCCCTATCAGAGGGGAGCCAGTGCTGTGGGTGCCCCAGACAGAGGCTGGACTCGGGGCGCAGAAGTGCTTCTGAGGGGCAGGCAGAGGCATGAGAGAGGAAGCATGACTTAGCACCTGTCTCTGCAAGGCATGCTCTCTGCTTTCTCCTCAGCACACAGATGAAGAAGGTGATGTTAACAGTATTTAAGCACAATCATGGCGCCTACCAGTTCTTCAGAGAAGCGCTGCAGTAAGGAGCTGGGCCCTGGTGTGGGACTTTCTGCCCCACCACCTTTTTCCTGGTCCTGGCCCCATTCATCCTGATGCCTAGCGCCCCGTCCCGTGGTTGTGGGGATGGGGGTTGGTGGATGGCCTGGGAGTGCCCTCCGGCTCAGGCTCCTGCCCCCCTGTCCCTCACACCTGGGGGTCTCATAAGTGTGGTGGTGGAAAAGTTCTTGGGCCAGGGAGGAAGGCAGTCAGCTCCTGCAACCAACCTCTCCTCCTGCCTGCCTTGCAGATTTGAAATCGATGACTCTTCCCCCAGCATGTCAGGTTGCTGTGGGGAGGACTGCTCCTACGAGATCCTGAGCCGGAGGACCAAGTTTGGGGACAGCCAGCATTCCCATGCTGGTGGGCACTGTGGTGGCTGCTGTCACTGAACTCCCAACCAGAACGCCCTCTCCAAGGTCTACCCTCTCCCCGGTCTCATGCCGCCTGCCAGGTGCCCTCAGAGCTGTGGCCTCCTCAGCCCTACATGTACTAGGCTGCGCCCTGAGAGCACAGAACCCTGGGGAGGAGTGGTCCAAGTGCCCCTCCTCCTCTCTCCTAGAAGAGCAGTGCCAGGAGGGAGCCGAGAGGAGAGGATGCTGAGGGAAGAAAGAGCTGGTGGAGGCCGGGCATGACGTCATCCTGGCATGGAGGCTGCCTTCTCACTCCACTCTTGCGCCCTTGAGCGTAAAATTCCCTGACTCCTCTGTAGCTGGATTCCTGACACTGCCCCCCCACGAACCTCCTGCCACACACACATGCACACACACGGACATGGGCACACGCATGCACAGACACACACCAACACGCACGAACACGGACACACACGCGCGCGCACACGGACAGATGGAGTGCTTATGCCCACCTGTGAAAGTCCTGGAGCCCTGGTCAGGGTCTGGCTGGTCCTCGAAGAGGAATGGACTTGGTGGGAGGTCTGGGCACAGTGAGGCTTCAGACTCCTGCTTCGCGGGCGGAATGCTCTGATGGCATCCGGGGAAGGTCTGTGCTGCGACAGGCAAGCAAGGGAGCCCTCTCGAGCTGTGCTCTGTGGACCCAGTTAGAGGGGGGCTGTCCCAGGGGACCAGCCAGCTCTGGGAAGAAGGCTGCCTCGCTCTCCATCGCTGTCAGTGGGGCTGAGTGGGGCCGCATTGCTCCTTTGGGCTTTTGGACTTTGCTGCATTCTCAGCTTGACCTCGATCTATGGCAGTGGCTCAGGTTTCTAAATCCTAGAAAAAGCCAGAGGTCCTGCCTGTCCTCTCCATCGCCCTCACACCCTCCCTTGCCTCTCACCCCGCCCCAGATACCTCTTTCTACTAAGGGGGGAATAACATCAGGGAGCCCCTCTCTCCCCCCAGAAGGACCTCTCCTTGGTGCTGATAGCTCTCTGCAGGTGGCCATTCCCCCCTCTTCAGAGAGCCCCCAGCCAGCAGCAGGCCCTCCGCCTGCGCTCCCAGCCTCGCCCCTCGCTGCCTCAGTGAGGCACTAGTGCCACTGCCCTGGCCGGCCGCTCGGGCTACAGCAGGACTGCCGGGGGCCACAGCGGCTCCTCTGGGGTCACCTGGCGCGGCGTGGCTGGTGCAGGGAGGGAAGGCCTTCCTCTTCTCAGGATAGAGGCTGTGGGGTCAGAGCTTCCACTTGTCCTAATCCCTAGGCCTTGTTCTCCCTCCAGGGAAAACGACCAAACCCTTATCCAGGAACAAGCCCCCAGCGCCTCCACGGAGAGGGCTTTGCGCTCTGCGTTCGGGCGTGTCTTAAAGTTCTAGCCTTTTGTAAAGTTGCCGTCCTGGAGGCCGGTGGGTCCTTCCGACCTCGGCTGCTCACAGCCCACGCTCCCCCCAGGGAAAATGACCAAACCCTTATCCAGGAACAAGCCCCTAGCGCCTCCACGGAGAGGGCTTTGAGCTCTGCGTTCGGGCGTGTCTGAAAGTTCTAGCCGTTTGTAAAGGTGCCGTCCTGGAGGCCGGTGGTCCTTCCGACCTCGGCTGCTCACAGCCCACGCTCCCTGACTCCGGCCTCTGCTGACCGGCCTCCCTGGAGCTGTGCTTGCTTCTCCCTCAGATCCCTGCTTGAGCGGGTCTGTGCACATGGCCGCCTTCACCCAGCCCCCGCCGAGTGCGCCTCGTTGCTCTTGACTCCCCAGCTGGGAGAGGGCCCTGCAGCTTTACACTGGAATAAGCCCACCGTGCCCTTGTCCTGCTGGCTCCCAGGGCATTTTACCCGAGGGGCGGAGTTTCGGTTTCTGGGAGGGCATTGGGCTTCCAAGAATCGTGGAACGACAGAAGCATGTTTAGGAGAGTGTTTCCTCTGATTCCTGTCTCTCAAAGACACAGAATGATAACTATTTATTGTCTTAGATCATGGATTTCTGATACCTCCCACTCAAGGGGACCAAAAGGAACCCCCAGTGTAAATCCCACATAAGGTGAGTTCACTGCATGTCTCCTTCCGGTCATTGACCACCTGGCACCGAATCCATTTGGGCACTTGGTGCCACGCCCTCCTGTGCAGCCTCCCGGCCACTGCCCGGGCTGCCTGAGGCCAGCAGGGGGCTCTTGTCAGTGCTGAGCCCGTCAGTTCTCAACCCTCAGTCTTTCCCACTGACCCAGGCCACGGCGATGGGAAACAGGCCTTTTCCGGGCTTGTTGTTGATTGTTCGGGGCACATTAAAATATTTTTAAAGATTTTTCTTTTAGCTGTATTCACTATTTCAGGTTATTTTTGTTGATGTCAAATGTGTATATGACGTGTATGGTTTTTAACCCTTCCTGGGTTTTTTAGAGGAAACTTTGAAGTATATATTTTTTCTTTAGCAACTTGTTATCACTGGAATCAAAGGGGAAAAGTGATCTCTTTTTGCATTGGTTGTATTTGTATGTCACAAATAAAGGATACTTTGTCAGCTGCTGGGATAGTGCCTGTGCTGGGTGCCATGGGCGGTGTGGGCTCGGGACACCCTTGGTCTCCACTGTCCAGAGTGGGGCCTGTGCCCTGAGGCATGCAGCTGTGATGGCGCCATGTCCCTGCCTGTACAAGAAGCTTCAGGCCTGAGAAACCTCGGTGTCTGGGGTGAGCAGCCAGAGGTAGGAGCTGAGACCAAAGGCATGTGTTTCTGTCACTTCCCAGAAGCCCTGGGCAGAGGTCAAAGGTAGAGGGGCACCTGCTTTGCATCGTTGTGACACCTGACGTCTGTGGCTGAACGTGAGTTCCCGCGCAGCGTGGGTGTTGAGGGGAGGGGAGTGTTGGTGTTTCTTTCTCCCTTTTACTTGCCTGGGTTACTCCGAGTATTCTCTGTGCCTTAAGAAGATTCCAACCCCTCTCCCCTCCACTCCAAAGGCAGAGGCTCCGAGGAAGGGTAACTCATGTCAGGCCTGACAGGAGGAAAGTTATGAGCTGGGGGAGGCCCTGTCCTGCCCTCGAGTGTGACAGACGGAGCCGTGCAGCTCCTCTCCCAGGCGGGACTCCTGCCAGTCCTGGCGGGGTGAGCTGGGAGAGGCAGGAAGTGGGCCGGAAGGTAGAGCTCAGAGGCACTTCCTGTGGACACTGAAGGGGCTGGCCTGTCGTGCTCCTGTGGGGATCACATCTGCTGGAAGGTGGAGAGGGAGGCTAGGGTGGAACTCACGAGCCGAGGGAGTATTTGCATGTTGGAGGGTCAGTTACCTGGGGAAAGGAGCAGGGTGCCGGCCGGTCGTGGCCTCAGCCGTGTGGGTGGGCACACCCAGGGGATGGTTTGGGCAGCCGTCTTATCTGTGCGGATAGGGAAAGGTATCACGTCCTTGGGAAGGGGAGGGCATTCCACTCGGGACAGAAAGCTCCTTGTTCCCTGAAGGCTGTCAGCCACAGGCAGGAATTCCTTGGAATGACCATCCCCTGGCTACAGGGTAAAGGCTAAGGTTGGAAAGGGTGAGGCCCTTTCTTGATCTGCCCTCCCTCTTCCTAGGTGGCCAGGGCCCCTGTGGTCCTCCACCTGCCTCCGGCCTCTACCCCCCCCCCCCCCCTCCCCCCCCCCCCCCACTTCCCTCCAGCTGCCGCTCAAGGCGCTGCTGAGACGCACACCCTCAGCAGCAGGCGGAGCAGGAGGCAGTCGCTGGATGAGTGGTCGGAGCTGAGCTGGTTTCGACCCAGACCCCAGGCTTTTCACCCAGCGCAGGGCTACCCTAGTTCCTGCGCTTCCTCTCCAAGGGCAGCAGAGGCGAGGGTCTGGGAGGATGGGAAGGTGCGGCCAGGAGCCCTGTGGACTGGACAGCCTGAAGCAGGCATGTTGCTACCTGGCTGTGACGGGAGGAAACTGGCATTTGATGAGCCTGATGTGCAAGTGACAGCTCACTCCTGCGTGCGGGGTGCAGTGCAGTGCTTGCTCGTATGGATCCTGTCCCACACGGGGGGTGGGGGGGCTGCCGAGAAAGATAGGGAGGCGTGGAGAAGCCAGTATCGAGGAGTGGCTGCCTCGTGAGGCTTACCCACAAGGAGGGTTGGAAGAGGGCCTTGGGACAGGGGAAGCCGCCAGCAGGACAGCAGGACGGCTGTGGCCCGGGAGCAGCAGCGCCCGTCCCCTTCCCTGTCACTGCCTGACAGCTGCATCAAGCCTGCCCCTGCTTTTGGGAGAGGGGCTGCTGGGGGCTGGTCAGAGCAGAGACGTTCGCAGTGTGCAGCAGACCCAGGTGCAAACCCTGCCCGGGCCATTGCAGACTCAGCCGATGCCCGACCTCTGCTGGCCTCCTCCCTCTGGTGGGGTTTCTGAGAGAAGTCACGTCTCTGGGCCCCGAGGAAAGCCCAGGAACCGCGTGCTGATGTGCCTCTTCCACAAACGGTCCTTCCTTTTCCTCCAGGGAGTCACCCAGGGCACCACAGGAAGGCCCCTGGCTGTGCTCTGATCTGGGCGTTAGTACTTTGTTCATAAGACAAAGGCCTGACAAAGCCCATAGGGCAGCAGGGGGCCCTGCCCTTCCTTCTCCTAGGCACCCAGGTGGGCTCCAGCCCTGAGCCCCTAGGGCCTAAGCTGTTCCCTTTGAGAGGGGAGAGATTTAGATTTGGAAGGATCTGTCCTGGCTGTTTGCCAGAGCCAGGGCAGGGTGAGGGCAGGTAGCTGGATGTGGGGCCTGGCAAGACTGCTGGACATTGCCAATACCCGTGCGTGTGGTGGGGAGAGGGGAGGGGTGAAGGGGCCCTGGCAGCTCAGGGCCTGGGAGCCCATCCCCCGGAGGAAGCCCGGGCACAGCCCATCCTTTGGGGCGCTCTGGGTCCATGGCCCTTTCTGTGAGCCCCCGCTGGCCTCCATGGGCTGAGTTCCCTCCAAAGCTCCTGTGTTCCCAGCCCCTGCCACAGCCTGTGGTCCTGTTACCACAGTATCCAAACTGGAACTTCTGGAAACTCCCCCACAGCACCTTGTGTGAAGATGGTTAAACACAGGGGGTTTGGAGCAGATAGTCCTGCCCTGGAATCCTGTCCAGGCAGCCCCGTAGCTGCTGCACGACCTTCAGTAGCTCATCCAGTTCTCCTTCGTAGGAAAATGGAGATAATAGTATCTCCCTCATGATCTTGTGGTGAAGACAGGATGAGGTTGTGTCGGTGAGGCCTGGCTCAGCCTGGCTCCTTACCCCTTTCCTGTGTGCCTATGCCTACTGTTCCGTACCCTGCAATTCATCGTCTGAGTGTGTGTGCCAGGCCCTTTGGAGACAGTGGTGAACAGGACCCAGGCCACCCTCATGTGGCCCCCAGTCTAGGGATGGAGACCAACCCGTGGGTAGTGCCAGCAGGGGCGCTGCTGGGCACAGGCAGCCCGGGGCCTGGGTGGCCAGTGGAGGCTGATGGAGTGCCACCCATTACTTCCTGCCACACCAGGGCACTCGACTAGCCCCTCACAAAGTGCTTGTTTATCATCTCTCCCCCTCGAGTATTTCTGTGATAAGGGAGTCCTTGTTCACTAGGATCCAGACAGTTCCTGGAACCAGTAGGGACTAGTACGTGGTGTTTATTGAATAAAGTGAGCTGCATCCCTAAGTGGGGGCCTGGAGAGTAGGCGTTAGCGTGGTGACAAGGAAGGCTGGGTAAGAGTTGAACGTGTCCTGGGCAGATACAAAGAAGCAAAAGGC